CACACTACAAAAACACACACACAAACACCACACACACACACACACAACAACACACACACAAACAACCAACACACACAACACACAGCACACACTACACTAAAACACAACACACACGCACTCACCAAACACACCACACACACACACCACACACACACATCCAAACCACACTACAAAAACACACAGACAAACACAAACACACACAACACACACAAACAACACACGACACACGCACTACCAACAACATCCACACCAACAAACACACACAACGCCGCCACACACGCAGAGCGAAAAAAAAAATCCCAAGAAAAATACCTCCCTTCCAATCCGTGTCTTCTGCCCCCTCGCGACGTCGGCCGACTGGGATAAGACGCTCGATTCGAATTCCCGATCGCGGTTCCGAATCACCAGAAGGGGTCCATGCCGATTGCGAAGTCGCTCGGGGCTGAGGGACGTGGAAAGACCTGTGGGGCGACGCAAGATGTGTAAAGAAAGTGTTCAGGTTGTAATCAGTTATGTATGTGTGTGGTGTGTTGTGTTGTTGTTGTGTGTGTGTTGTGTGTGTGTGTGTGTGTTGTGTGGTGTGTGTGTGTGATGTGTGTGTGTGTGTGTGTGTGTGGTGTGTGTGTGTGTGTGTGTTGTGTCTGTGTGTGTGTTGTATGTTGTGTATTGTGTGTGTGTGTTGTAAATGAATGAGTAAATAAATAAATGAATATTCATACATGTATGTGTGCATATATATAAGATATATTTTCTTTCAGCTGTTTTTCAAATTCCGTTGGGCATAGGCTACCAGTTACTTTCTCCACCGTCGTTCTGTCTACAACCTTCCGTACCAATGCTTTTAAAACTCGCTGACTCAACAGGAACGGCCTTATATTGCTTGAGACGTGTGTCATAGAATGGGGAGAGGGAGGGCCATGGTGGGGAGAGGGCGGGCCATGATGGGGAGAGGGTGGGCCATGATGGGAGAGGGCAGGCTATGACGTGGTTAGGCGTGGGCCATGATGGGGGGAGGCAGGCTTATGATGGGGTTAGGGTGGGCCATATGGGGAGGAGGGGAAGGGGGGGCCCCCCCATTTTGATGAGAGAGGTGTAGGGCCATTGATGGGAGAGTGGTGGGCCATGATGGGGAGAGGGTTGGCCCATGATGAGGGGTGGGCCATGATGGGTAGAGGGTGGGCCATGATGCGGGAGAGGGAGGCCATGATGAGGAGAGTGAGGGCCATGATTGGGAGGAGGGTGGGCCTATGGGGCGAGAGGTGTGGCCATGCATAGGGGGAGGCGGGCATGATGGGAGAGGGTGGTGTGGGGCCATGATGGGGAGAGGGTAGGCCCATGATTGGGGAGAGGGGGGCCATGGGCGGGAGGGTTGGCCATGGATGGGAGAGGGGGGCCATATGGGTGAGAGGGAGGGCCATGATGGGAGAGGGAGGGCCATGATGGGGAGAGGAGCCATTCGATGGGAAGAGGCAGGTCCATGATGGCAGAGAGGGTGAGGCATATGATGGGGAGAGGGTGGACCATGATGGGAGAGGCGGGCCATTGATGGGGAGAGGGTGGGGCCTATGATGGGGAGAGAGGTGGGTCCATGATGGGGAGAGGGTGGGTCCATAGATGTCGGAGAGGAGAGGGCCCATGCATGGGGGAGAGGGTGGGTCATATGGGAGGAGGGAGGGCCTATGATGGGCGAGAGGGGCAGCGGCCATGATGGGATTGAGGCTGGGCCATGATAGGGAGAAGGATAGGGCCATGATGGGGACGAGGGCAGGTCATGATGGGGAGAGGCTGGGCCATGATGGGGATGAGGGTTGGGCCATATGGGCAGAGGAGCGGCCATGATGGGGAAGGGCGGGGCCATGATGGGGAGAGCGCTGCGTCCAATGTATGGGAGAGGCCTGCGGCCATGATGGGAGAGGCTGGGGCCATGATGGGCAGCAGGCTGGGGCCATGATGCGGATGAGGCTGTGGGGACCATGATGGGGAGAGGGCTGGGTCATGATTGGGGAGAGGAGGGCCATGATGGGGAAGCAGGGCAGGCATGGATGGGAGAGGCTGGGCCATTGATGGGAAGAGGCCTGGAGCCAT